CTCGCGCCCAGTGTAAGCTGGGATTGGCTCCAGCCCCTTCGTGACCCTGTTCAGGATAAGCGCTATAGATAATGGATGTCACACATGGCTGACATGTATTTACTCTGCCACATGTGTTGAAATAAATGGAGTGATAGAAAAGATGCCCCATGTTCAACAGATTAATGCTTTCACAGATTAACAGATATTCCTATGACACTAATAAAATGAGTGTAGGATTTAATTTCCATGATCTTATCGATAGCAGCTCAGATGGGAACCATTGTCTAGGAGCACAGGGCATCAAAAATCCAGTGCAATATGCTGAGTGAAGCTGATCTGACTCCTCAAGCAAAAATGGTGAGATTAATTGAGCTGTAATAACCTAGACTACACACAGCTTAGGCAATCTTCAGTGTAGCTGCTTAGGGCGACTTTTTTTTTTACTGAAGTCTTCCCTAAATTGCCCATGTCGAACATGAGATGTGCTCTAATGTGGGTAAAGTCAGACAAACCCTATTACTCATCAGTGCAAGCGTACTTTATTATTTCCATGGCTCCAATTACTGTCATGACATCAGGCTTTTATGGGGGAGGGATGGAGATGTCATGACACATTAGCCGCCCTTGTAATAACTCCATCACCACTCAAAAAAACAAAAAGCCAATAGAGAAAGAGGATTAAAGGCTGAAGTGTTCAAAGATGAAGTGGTTGCAATGGCTTACGTAAGATGTACTCTGAGCTGTCCGTATCATAGTCGTTATCCTCAGGAAAATGATTGATCCGAAAACAGGTTCCTTTGTTGATACCTGCAGAGAAGCCAAAAGCACACTGAGTGTAAATGTGACTGATGGCATTAACATCCTGTGCAGGGAAGAAATGGCAACAGTTAAAGGAAAATACCATGTCTTTAGAATGGAGCTTGACATGATAAGCTCCATTTAAGATCGAAGGTATAAAAGGAAAGATGTGTTGACCATTCACTGACTCAGCACGTGACTTTGATGATCCTGAGACAAATAATAAAAACTGACATCTCATTTTGGTAAAGAACATTGAAATTAGTGCTGAACTATCCTGTTTTCACCTCTAACTATGTCAGAAATCACAAGGACAGGCTGCTGTGGATCTGACGTTCTCAAGCCCAGAGGCTCCTTCTATTCAAAGACCCAGTCTCTTCACTGAGGAAATGTTCCCTCTGCAAGAGAATAAAGCATTGGAGCATTATGAATACTGAGAAGTTAGACTCTAAATTAAAAATCTGATGCCTGAGTTTGCTGCTGCACCCTGTCAATCCTGTTTTTATTACTGTGTTAGTGACTGTATTGTGTCTATGTTAGTAATGTGCAGATCTGTTCGTTGGCATGGGAATTATCTGTATAAACAAGTAACAGCTCTGCTTACCAAAGCTTGGATTCTCATGTTTACTGATTGAGCTCTTTGCTGTTCTTCTCCTCCATGTTGGTATTTGGATGTTAAGAAAAGATCATACTCCTTCCATTGGCAGAAGAATAAAAAAAAAAAACACAATAAACTGAGTAATCAAGCCATAACAGGCCTCTTGCTGCCGAGCACATCACTCTAAATTGCTGATATAAAAATAAAGCTCAAATCAGAAGATTGGACAAACCCACGTAACCCATGTAATGTAATTGTTTCAGACCAAATATTGGCCAAATGCATTTGAAGTGCTGAAGCACTGAAGTGAAAGTGCAAAGATGAAGTGTACAATTTCTGTCAGGTGACTTAATTAAACTGGAATTTAAATATTTTTCTAACTTAATCTGTAAGCGCTGATCACCTAAAGAAACTGTTCAATATTTACCAATATTTCAGCATTAGGACTAACCAGATTTTCCTGATGTAAAGGTACCCTGCAGAGTTTCTGATCACTATGGAACAAAGTTGTTGCAATCTGTGTGTCACTGTTTTGTTTATATATAGTGCACATGCACAAGCATGTGGGTTGCGGGACATCCATGCAGAAAAGTCTTATGCTGTTCCAGAGTTGATGGCAGTAAAAACACACTGGCAAAAGTGTGGATGAAGACTGTAGGCTAGCAATGCCAGATTTAAAATGAACTGAACAAACTGGTTTTACTAATGTTTTAAGGAAATATGGTGTGTTTTGGTGACTGTAACTTTTTAAGACCACCACTCCACAGTAGTTCCAGTGGCTTTAGAGCCACTGGACTGTAGGTGTGTCTGTGGCTCATTGTTGACCTACAGCCTCGTCTGCTGCTGGAAATCCTGGAAAGTGGCTTTCGAGTGACGATTAGCTGCACTCACCGGCTGCTTCTTCTGTGCCTGAGTGGCTTTCTGCATCCCAGTTAGCACAGGTTCTGACTACATGGCACAGAATTACACAGGGCACCTTTAACATGTTTCCTACCCAACAAAGATCACTGTTATGTGTCTGCATTTTTTATGGTTAATCGGTGTGACTGCTTGGAATGAGAATGAAAAAAAATCCAAAGATAAGATGACAAATCGCACTTAACAGTCCATATTCAGTTTATGGCCAGGAAAAGTAATGATGGGTGTGATTCAGAGAAAATAAACATCAAGAAATAGTTTTTTAAAAAAGCAAACAAAAAAGGAAAGATGTCAAAACAAAGTACAATGGTTATATAAATCAATAATACACACAAGGGCAGTGAGGTAATAATCTGAGGAGTGACAGTGAGAAAGGTACAGAGAGAATGGAGAAACAGAGAGTGCTCAGTGAGGGAGGGATCTCCCCAGAGCCCATCTGTCTGAGAGACCGGGACCCATCTTTTATTACTCAGCATAGCTTCACCATGGCAACCGCCCCCCAGCAACCCAGAATCACATTTCTAGCTCCGCTTCTCAGAGGACGCCTTTGACATCTTACTAATACATTCACCAGGATACTCCACAGAATCATGCAACACACACACGTGCACCCTAACAAAGCCACAAAACCAGAAAGAAGCCTTTATGATATAAAAAAAAGTTCAAACAATCACATTAAGAAAAATCTTGTTGAAATGGTGGCTCACAGCAAATCAGCAGGCTTTGTCCTTTTGAGGTCAGACCAAATGCGTCTGAAACACATTATCTTTTATTGCATGCTCACTGACCAGGGGTGAGCTGCTTAAGTGAGAGTTCTTGTATTTGTGCATGGCTGGCTGCAGAACAAGACTTGACTTTGATTCCTCTAAAGGCTCATTTGCCTCCAGTTCTCACCTTCATTGAACCCCCTGCTTGTTCTACACTCATACAGATCAGTCTGTTTGGCACAGAAAGCCAAGCATAATTTCTTCTACAACATGTCCCGGGGCTTACCCATTATTATGCCACTCATATGACCTAATACAAGCAGACAGCCTCCCTCTTGTTCCTTGTTACTAGAGGAGATTACTTCTCTGCTGGGATATAAATGAGAGAGTGAGTAAAGCAAGGAAGCAACAATAAGTTAAATCTTTGATCCTTTATCGTGTATACGGGGCAGACTGAAACAATTTTACATTGTTGACATTTGAAAAATGTATTTAGCTAAAGCAAATGCATCTCAAGATAGAGCATATATCCCAGTTGCTTATTTGCTTGAAATCACTATAATTTTAAGAGTAAGCCTCTGATTGGGTGTGATGAAAAGTCTTTTTGGCTCAGCTAATAGCATCAGTTGTAGATAGAGGTGTGGCACCGCAGGCCAGTTACATCAGATTTCACAGCAGTGTGGAACAATGTGTGAGAATAAAGGAAAGAGTACGAGAAGCTGTGTTACTCTCAGTTTTAAATCTATATGTAACACCCCTCTGACGACATGAGCATGGAGAGAGAAGGTGGTGGAGAAGATGTTCAACAACAATGAGCACTCCATCTCACGTCTGCTGATGATACTCTGAAGTGTTAGATGTGAGACGCGAGGTGGTGGTGGTGGTGGTGGGGGGGTCTTTTGATAAGCTTTATAGGAAATCCATAAATAGCGGTGCACTTTTTAAAATATAAAATTCCAGTAAGAGTAGTAACAGTACAGAGCAAAAAATACATGGAGTGTGACATCTACAGTGGTGACATACATCAGCATATGAGATATAGCTACAGCACGGGCAAGTGCTGCCTCTTCACTTGGACTGCCCACCCACCATGACACTGTCACATCTCTCTGCATGTTTGACAGGTGCTGCCTTCGTGTCACATAGGAACACTGGAGATAGAGACTCCTTAATAAAATACTGATGTGGTTTGCTCCTGCGAATGCACCAAGACTTCTTCAGATTTACAAACCTCAGACAAGGCCAATAAGTATTTTATTGTAATCAGCAAGGGAATGGTGAATGCATGTCAAATGGTAATTTTCCTTACATAATAAGGCTGCTTAAGGTAGTGATATGATTTCAGTCATCTGTTTGGTTGTAAAACATATACAGAAGTCTCACCTGAAGGTTAGTGTGGAAGAGCTGATTAACTAAAACCTGCACAAACCTTCACTCACTGTGTTCACAAAAACAGTACTTTACAGCAACCGACTATTTCTAGTTAAGGTTTGTGACTGACCATCTGGGGCTGTCCTGTAAATGTAAAGTCACTTATTAACTTAGCTTAGTTATTTAGTAGGTATAGTTTGTTAGTTAAAAGAAACAAAACAACATGGAGACTTCAGCACCAGTAGCAGTGGACAGCGCCACAAGATGCAGGACCGCTGGATGACGTCACTGGCCACTTCCACGGATCAGCTGATTGATTTAATTGATTTGCCTTTTTTTTTTTTTTCAAATGAAGCATCGCTGTGTCGAACAATATCGAGCTGTCCTTCCTACGTAAGAAGCCCAGCCCAACACCCAGGCGTGATTCTTTTGGATCATAGATACCCGGTAAAACAGCTGAGAACATCTCAGCCTCTTGCTAAAACAGCCCGCTTGTTCCTAAAACTTGTTTCAGTCTAAACAATTTTTTTTAAAGGAATTGCCAAGCAACAGCCTCACGTTAATGGGAACATCAAAACCACTCCTTATGTAATTACTGTAACCTGCAAGCGAACTGTATTGCTTGTTAAACAAAACGCAAAACAAAAGATCATTACGTTTAACAGTTTGTCATGATCTGATCATTGTTTTTCTGAGACAAACTAAATGACGTTCGAGGAAAACTGGTGCAATCGTGTTATTATGCACACACAACACATCCTATGCGTGTATCAAGCAGTGGTTCCCCTCAAATTTCCCTTATAAAAAATCGTGCACATGTAACTTCCTACGTGATATTTCGTGATTTTATCAACAGAAATGAGAATAATGGTGCATCTCTTGGGCGTTTTCCATTTTGGTGCGTCGCCACACAGCATAAACTGATATACAGTTGTTGTTAATCCACATTTAGGTTACTTTTGGAGTATTTTCACTCGGAGTTTCCAGTTGAAGCATTTCTTCAAATCCAGTTGTTTGTAACAAGCACTGTGACCTTCCCATCGTAACTGGACAGAACGCTCATGAGCCCTTGGTATAAAAAAGTTTGTAAACTAATGGACACCAGCTTATTAGACTTTATTTTACCTTCGATACAACAGATCCTCCACAGTCCAGAGTGCGTCAGGTCGCCTTTGACTTTCTTGGTTTGCATCTGGGTCTCGTCTGAGGTCACATTAGTGGCGTTGCAGGTGTATGCCCGGGAGTAAAGCCAGTAGTCGGTGCCGATGGCGATGGTCATGAGACTGAAGGCAGCGAAGGCCCCCACGATCGCCAGCAAGGTCTGAACCCCTCGGTCACACCATGCCATGGCGTCTCATAATGTGTGAATGCTCCACAGCAGCTTACGCACACGGCGAGGAGCGCATGGTGCCCATGAACCTGATCAGAAGAAGCGCTCGCGTCTCACGGTTTCTCCATCTCATCAAGCCAAAACTCGATCCTTAACTGCTGCTCTCCCTCCTAAACTTCCGTCGGAGTTCAATACAAGTTGCACGATTGCAGCTTCCGTCTCGTGCATTTGGATTGACTGGGCATGTCTGAAATCATGCTACTGATGGGAAAAAAAAATCTGGAGAGGCATTTCTTGAACAAGTACACTTTTATTAACAGGGCTACAGGCTCTTCCAAGTAGCTACTACTCGATGTTAAAGTGTACGGTTCATCTAAGGATGTAGCATTGATAATCAAGACCACACCTTCCACGGCCGGAGCCAAACCAATGAGAAGCGGCGGTGTGAACAGCTTCTGGAAGAAGAAAACATCAGTATCAGCCCAGCACACACCACAGTGTTAGACAGGAGCAATTAGGCGCTTTCTCTGAAAAATAATCAAGCAGGGCAACAACCACACCCACATTTAAAAGTCACGTAGAGTGCAGAACATACACACATGCAGGGGATTTTATGCGTTTTCCAAAGCACCTAAAAATCAATGAAAAGAGAACACTGCTGACAGCAGAGTGGCTGAAGTAGATAGCAGCAACCTTACAAAGACGAATCTGAAGCATCACCTGTGGTTTCTTATATCTATCAAAAGCACTTTGAAGTTGGACATCGGTTCACCTAGCCTATAGAAGTAATAGAAAAGTAAAGGCATGAATCTTCACCACAAACTCCGATTTCCTGTTCATAAATGAAAGAAGTCTTATTAAGTTTAGGTTAGGGCTGAGCCTGTCACTTTAAGCCCTTGGTTGTTTCAGTGAGGGGTCTTTTTCTATGGAGCAATCTTCCCTTTCACACTGACACAGAGAAAGAGAGAGGCAACCAGAGAGGGTGTGCAGGATTTGGCCCTAGCTGCTGCTGTTTGTAAAGTCCCACCTTTTTGACTGGGGGCCCCATTCAAAGATTCCAGACTCTGAATCACTTCCTGGTCCCTGCAAGGACAGCAAAGCATACTACTGATGGGCGTGCATGTGTGTGTGTGCGTGTGTGTGTGGAGGGAGAGGCTGGAAACGATGGGGCAGGCAATATGGTGAGGATTAGGAGATAAGTGAGAAAGAAAGGAAACGGAGGTGGGGGAGAGGATAGGAGGGATGGCAAAGTGAGAATATGCTGAAGATGTACAGTATACAGTGCATACTGAAGAAGTAGGGAGAGGAGGATATGGAAAATAGTTTCACACTGAAAACAAGCGACAAAAATGTATTTGTGCAACTTTTCTTTCTTTGCTGCAGCGGAGCGGGTTCTGCTCCGAGTGTACGGATCGAGACGGAAAATGTCCGCTGGACTTCAATCAGTTTGACAAAGGGATGTGAGAGGGGGAGTCACAGCAGGTGAGCAGACAGCGGCTAAGAGATGTGATGCTTTTGGTTGCATCAGCAAACAGAAAATATCTGGCCCCATCACATCATACTATTAAAAAGATACCAACAGATGTTCTTTTCAGTTATTTTAGTCTGTTTCAGAAGCCGCTTTACTTGACACACACAATCTGCTATTACGCACAATTTGCATAATTTACTACAGGCATACAATAGCTACCCCAGCTCCCAGAAGACCAGGAAAACTCCACTAAGTCATTAGTCTATGAGGGAAAACATGGGCAAAACATCAGAAGAGGTCATTTAACAAGTGTGTGCACTTCCTCTGGCAAATTCTAAAACCAAGAAGCACTTATGTGTAACATTTAATCGAAATGCCAGAGCCAAAACTTCAGACCAAGCCTCTGCAGAAAACATCTCACATCCCGACAGTGTGGTTTTCCAGCCACGTTGTCCCACTTCATCTCAGCCAGTGTGTCTCTGAGTCTCCATGTGGTTTGGCTTCCAAGTATATTGGGGCTATATCTGCATCCTAACTAGACATGTCTGAGGACATGTCTTAATACGACTGACACATGGGCTTTTCATCCTGTGTAAAGTGACTGTGGTAAAGGGAGCTCACAAGGGCCACTGATAATGAGTTTGATTCTCATCAGCATTACATTCTGAAGTTCTTTTCAACTTCTTCCTGTTTTTACTTTCCAGCTTCTCCGTTGTCCCTGTTTAACTTGAGAGTGCGCTTTGGCACAACTCGTTCATTCGCTCTGGTAAACGAAGGCTCCTCTGCCAACTTCCTTCTTTTGTGTGGTGTTTTCTTCTTCCCTGCTGGTTTTGGTTTGAGCCAAGAGCAGCTCCTCCTTGACCTTTTCCAAACTTGTCTTCCAGATATGGCAGATTAAGTGTTGATAGTGTATCTTTGGCTGTTTGTTTTGAGCAGCTGCCACAGTCTGGCCTATCCAGTGAAAGAGATTAATGCTGCATGGCTGCCTGGTGTACAGCATTAGTGAATGTGCCAGTCTGCCTGGGCCATTTAGACAGGAAATTGTATGCCCTATCAAGGAAGCAATTGGTTGTTTCTTTAGAATAATTTTATCAAAATTCAAGCTGAATAAGGCAAAATTGTAGGGTAAAGGAGGAAGCCTTTGGATCTTGTTTCTTTTGAAAAGTAAATGAAAGAAAAGGGACCAAATAAGATAGGGATGAGAAATCGACAAGATGAGAGGGAACATTAAGTCTTTGAATATGCGAAGGAGATATACCCCAGATGAGATGTGGTGAAAATTGAGCTCTGATTCAAAGAAAATTATTTGAGTGTTTTGGGACCAAACAGAGCAGCAGTGAGAGCATTTTGGTGTGCTGTTTCATCTCTGGACCTACACTGAAAGAAGAGGGAAGAAGTAGAGACCAGTACAGCTGTTCATGTTTTTTTTTCCAATAAAATGTCATCCAAAACATAAAAAAAATTTCATTTTATCAAAGCCCTGTGCAGTACATGGATGCATTAGCTAAAAGTTCTATTAATATATAAGTTAATTATGTTTTCACAGTTGACATCTAGCACCACAATTTCTTAAATGTGACACTATACGATACGATGCATATGATATGATACGATACATATAATACGATATGATATAACACAATATATGAGCCATTATTATAAAACATTCATGCTCATTACATCCTTTTTTCAAGGTTCATTTATTTATTTTAAATAAACAAACATGGCCAGTTATATCCTGTTTCTCTTACTACTGGTGTTGTTCACGGCTGCCTGCTGCAGCCACCAGTGAGATGCTGTGTGTGCACACAGCACCTGGAGCAGAAGAGAGCGATAAAGAGCAGAGGAAATTGGGCTAAAAGAAAACAAACACAGACTCAGTCCTCAGGCTGCCAGAGGGGAGCTCTGCTAAGACAAGCTATAGTTTACAGAAGACTCTTTTTCTGGTTTTACTGTTTTTTTACAGTATTCTTGGGGACATGCTGTAAAGCCCTATAGCTTTAAAGAAAAATTCCAGTTAATTTCAAATTAGATTTGGCCATCATTTCTCTTGGCTACAATAACATTGGACAGTGAACCTAAAAGTAGTTGTCTTAGATCTGAGAACACATACAACAAAGTCAGGTAGTGCAAGAAATATGCAATCAGACAGGTTGTAAATACACACAGTGTATTTGACACACATAAACACTAAAGTGGGTGCAATTAAATCTTCATGACAATTCCTCATTGCACAAAAAAACTGCATGCCTGCACAGTTTGATCCCCAGTCTCAGCAATTAACTCGGTCAACAGAACTTCAGTATGAACAATGGCCAAAACTATGAGAATAAACTAGAATGCTCCCAGACTGGATTTAAGGAGGGGACTTGTTTGAAAGGCAATGATGTGAGCTCCACTTTCACACTAAATGAGACAAACTGGCACAAGAAGAAGAAGTGTAAAAGAGAAAGCTGTACAGTTTTCTAGTTTTTCCTGCCCGTTTAGGATAGAGTGGTATCGGTACCAGGCCGTTCAGCCCCTTGGTGCTTTCGGGGTTCCCAGTGTGGATCTCTCCCCTGTGTCAGTGGCAAGCGAAGTCACTGCTGTGGGTATTGAAGAAATTTTGAATATTCAGTGATTTTTTTTTCCTATTCAGCTGCTCAGCACATGCAGAATACTGTAAGTCTCACAAGAATACTAGACTATCTAAGGTTAATAAAAATGTAATGTCTTTTACTGTATGGTGTACAGTACTTTGACTGGATTTCACCCTTGTCCATTAACCAAAGATGTGACTGTACTAATATGTGGGCAAATATGTTAGTTGGGACTATTGTGTGTTTCCATGTTTATTATTTTGTCTCTGCTTTATCTCTGGATGCCAAAAATACAGGGAAAATGCAACATAAAGAAGAGGAAAGCGTGATAATTTTGAAAGCCTCTGACTCTGACTTTCATTCTCTAATGCCTGAGGGAAACCAACACAGTGCCTTGATGGTCATATCATATCATATGGTTGATGAATATTGTACACTTCAGCTGGGAAATTGAAGCACTTTGCAGTGAAAGTGCAAAAGTTGTGTTCACTTAATTGTTCCCACTCTGGAAGTGACTCAGACTTCTATATATCTTCTCATACTAACTGTCTAGGGTAATGAAGAATTCTCTTTTGTAGTAATGACTGAGAGGCTTATGATTTTTTGTCTTCCACTTTAAACGTAGGATTCATTTTAAGCTGTGTGTCTTCACAGGAATGACACTAGATGGAGCTGTTGTCAAAAGGCATTGGGCTGACGCTGATGAGCGACAATAAAGAAGGTGTCCCCTAAAGCAATAAATCCAGTTATTTTCTTCTGTAACAGTACAGCATTACAGGGACTGTTGGTCTGCTTTAAATAGTTTATCATAAAAAGTGCATCTTCACCAACAGTAGAATTTACAACACACGTTCACCACGTAGGGGAGTAATCTGTTTGGAAATATTCCAGCTCATCAGGTCATTAGATGAAACTGCTCTTTCATTTTACACTGCACATCAGCACATTATGCAGAGAAGCTGTTTCCATCCTGCTGAGAGCCCTGTTACATTTCATCCACCCAGATGGGTCGGTGCCAGCTCTCACAGCCAGAGCAGCGTGGGGTTCACACTGGCTGTCTGTGGTCAACGTGACGTTATGACTGGCTGACAATACACATTGTATTTTCTCTTAGCTTCAGATTTTTACAATGCAACTTAAGGTGAAAGAATCTTTCTTAAGATAGTTTAAGACAGATTTTGAAAAAATGTATTCACTCAGTGAACAAACTGATAGGGACATGGGCCAAAAACTAAATGGTTACAGTCTGCTGTGCCATATAAAAGTACAGTGTGTACACAACAGCAGCTAGTCTGGCCGCTGACCTATGTTGCAGGTCTGTTCCTCTGTCTGCCCAAAAATAATATAATTAAAGGTAGAATGCCCCAAAAATGGACAAGGGTTTGTCAAAGAGCGCATCTTGTTTTTAAAGATCATTTATTTACCACTGTGTACTTTAATATACAATGTATTACAAACATTTCTGAGGCATAAGCAGCTGAAGAAACAAGCATGTTGTTTATCAAATCCCATTATATTTTATTTATTTCAGAATACATATTCCATTGCACATTTAACATAATAAAACAACTGAGACTGTAAAAATACACAGATATTTCAAGTCTAACAGTGACACTGTGTGAATATTTTATATTTATGTGTAACATTATGCAAAAGCCCACAGTCTCAGTGCAAAGCAGCTGTCACATATACTGCACATGACTCTATCTGACAGCAAAACAGCCGTGATGCTGCCAGCTATACAAAAATGAGTTTATATACACAATGATGATTTTGTATTAACAGTGTTTAAGATAAACAAACCATAACTGGGCTAAAAGGACAAGAGTGAAAGTTTAGTTTGGCACCATTCTAGTTTATTAGTTTTATGTAACTGTGTTTTGTTTACATGACCTGCAGGTGGAACACAGTGATCCAGTGATTATATAATAATAATATATAGCAGTCACGCCACACAACATTAAATACAGACAATAGTTACACTTTTAGTAATATATCAAACTAATATAAAATGATTGCACAAGACAAAATGTTTGTCTGTTATATGTTTACTCACACTTATGGTAAAGCAGCATGAAATGTATATTCAAGACTTTTTTCACTTAACCTGGATACAACGTTTTACTTGGTAGGTTAAACATCTAAGAATATTTTTCATTATAAGGGGGTAAATTCTAAAAAAAATAACCATCTATAATTTGGGTTAATATATCTCTATATGCTGAAGAAAAATGGCTCTATATCAAAATAGTCTTTAATACCACCTGAGTCATCAAAACCATCTTCTCCCCTTTGGCCTTGTCCTCTAATTTAAACTTATAACAAGCATGTTATAACTTTAATTTGAGCAACAGTAAAACACTGTTACTCCAGTGCAGCTTTTGTTGAAACATGTATATAAAGCAGTGTTTGTTATTTATTATAGGTTATGAGAGTAAACAACATTATATTTAGTCAGTTTCCTTTGCAAAAATATACAGTAATTGACTCAAAGGTTTTATGGCCATTGACATATTCAGCAGCCTGTAATATAAACTTTTCCTTTGGTGTCCAAACTTAAACTGCTCTCAAACCAAGCAATGACAACAAGCCTCCACATTTTCATAAAAATGTTTCCTATGCAATGAACTTACTGTAAATGGGGAGCGCAAGCACTTCTGGTTGTTAACTAAAGGTCAGTGTCTGCAAATAGTCTGAAGCTCACACTTGATACAGAAGTGCTCAGGGTGGAGAAAGAAGTGAGGCTGACATGAAAGATCAAATACCATCTGATATCATTCCAACTTTCCCAGCATGCAATCTTGATCAAACAATTTCTTTATAAAATGGTATGTCCATTAAACACTCTATGTGAATGGTTGAAATTCACATTCAGCGTGTTTTATAAGCTCTATACTTGAACATTAAGAGGTTTAAGCTGAGGTCAACCTCCTGACGCATAATTATGTCTGGAACAGTTCTAATGTGCATGAGAATATCAAGTATATTACAAAAACAAGCACAAAGTATGTTTATTAATGACAATAGAGAACATCCATTAAACCTGCTTGTGCACACTCAAAGAGGAGGTGCACAATGTGTGCACATTTTAGCATATCTATGAGACCTCTGGACAATTCCAGCAATGGTGTTATGACCAAATTGAGCACATTTCTAGGAATCCTTAGCAGGTTTCCTCTACACGTGGGTGACTTCACTGATGAGTTTCTCCTTTCTGGCTGAAAACACCCCCTGTAGTGTTTGCTTTTGAAAACCTACATTCACTGCACATAGTTGTCCACACACTTCTCATTTCTGCAGATGTGTAGTACATAAAGCTATCAGGATTGCAGCAGTACTACAGGCAAATAGTGGATTTGCTCGCTGCAGGGTGAAAACTACTAAAGTCACTCCTTGCAGATGACTTTGCCCTACACTGGCCGGGTCAGCACGTTGCTAGCCACACATCAATA